TACCTCAGATACTTGGATAATTGCCTATGCTTTCCACTTACTTTGGCCAAGAAAATTTGCCACAGAGACAGACTGAAGATTCCATCTCATCAGCCCTTGCAGGACCGAGACGGGAAAATGGCCCTCGCTGCCCACACTGGCGGGAACAATGACTGACTGGGCGCCATTCTGAGGCATCCTGAGCCCACTTGGCGCTAAACCACAGCTATACATCTATTAATAGTGAAGCCTGCCCAGAAATTAAGCATTCTCCTTTCCGTTGAGAATCAAAAAATTCAAAAGCTACCAGCGGCCAGTTCTCCGTAACTGTTATGCGCTAAAGCTGAAATGTGTATCTGTTTATAATAAATGCAGAATTTAGAAAGTCGCTTGTTTCAAAGTTAGAACTTATTAGTAATTCTGTTTTAAAAGCTCTAGTAAAAATAACAGCTTTCAAGTATTTCAAAAATACAAACTATATATCATGTATTTATTATATTATATGAGGATATATAATATTTATAAAAGGCTTATTATTTCCCAGGCACTCTTTTAAGAGACAGATACTATTATTATCATCCATTTTACACCTAAGGACATTGAATCCCAGAGGGTAAGTTACTTGTCCAAGTATATTACTGAAATTATAAACACATCAATGATTTCAAATTGTATTTCTCAGTGTAAGTTCAACGTAAATTGATGTAAATTCAAGGAAATTTTCAAATATATCAACAAAATATGTAAGTCATTCCGAATGAGTTGCACTATTTTAAACTTTAAGATGGGTCTTGAAAATGATATAGTTTAATGCTTCATTTTACAAATTCAAAAATTAAAAGGTAACGGTGTGAGGGTTAGAAACTGGTAGACAACACTATACAGCACGCACTCATGTAAATTTGGATTACTTTTCTTTCTCCTCAGTGTAGTACCGTGAGAGAAGTTTCCTTGGAGGATTGCTTCTGCTCTTCTTCAATTAACTGTTGCTGACTCTCTCTGTCTTAGAATCAAATCGCTCAGCTTTTGGCAAACTGGAATTTATGCTTTGCTACACAGTTGATCTGTATCCATGGCTCCCTTAAAAAATAATCAGCAGACTGCCGTTCTTCACTCTGACCCCAGGAGAGAAAGCAGGGAAGCTTTACAAGACTTAATAAGTGTCGCTTGCTTTTAGATGCTCCACTTCAGTGCTCTGTCTTTGACTTTACACATCAGTGTATATTTACCAGGCAGCGATGCCAAATTAAGCTGCCAATTATGTCAAATTACAAGAGCAGTACAGATAATCAGTGATATCCAAGTCTTTATGAACTTGAATAAATGGCAATTAGTTCATATTTTAATAATAATTTCAATTTATGTTGACAAAATATTGTTTGCATCTCCAATCTTTATGCTTTGAAAATACACATTATGAGTATAAAATAAAAAATAAAATTAGGTAATTATATAATTTAGTGTATAATATATAACAAAATATTACAATTATAGTACATATTATAAGAAAATACATATTATGTATCACATATTTATTATATTATATAAGGATATATAATATTTATTAAAGGCTTATTATTTCCAAGGCAGTCCATTAAGAGACAAGTACTATTATTATCATCATTTTACACATAATGACATTGAGGCCAAGAGGGTAAGTTACTTGCCCAAGGTCACGCAGCTACTACGTAGAAGAGCAAGATTTGAATCCAGACAGTCTGCCTTCAGATAGAACACCCAGCTCATTGCTGTAACACAATATAACCAAACACTAATTCATATATATTCAATGAGATAAAGTAATCGATGTGGAAAAATTTAAACGTAGGCCTTTTTCTTTTTTGGTAATAAATGTTTACTCAATAGAAAGTCACTGATGCAGATTTTTCAGTTTAGTTTCTGCCCATGATGTATTTATAGCTGGCCTACTAAAAAGGGGAAACGATAGTAATCTAAAATATATTTTTTTCAGCTAGCCAATGTCAATCATAATTACAATAGCAAAAATAGTAAATAAATTGTAGTAGATAGTTACAAAGTTTGATTTTATAATGTGCTCTTTGACTTTAAAAATAGTTCATTCAATATGTTTAAATATCTTAGATTCTAATGTATATGTCTACAGGACTTCCATATAAATTTTAGCATGTCATCCTAACAAAATTACTGTGAGATAGTAGTGCAAGGACTGGTAATTCCATTTCATGGGCGAAAGAAGTTTAAAAAAGAAGAAGAAATATTTCTCAGCTCTCACGTTATAAAGCCAGAATGTGGTCAGATATCAGTGCTCCAATTTCACCAGATAGCTGACTTTTCCTCACTACTCCTTAATGTTTAACTTTCCCAAATATAAAAATCAGATCATACAATTTTTATTGTACATCTGTTTCACTGTTGGTATATGGTTCACTTTATCAAATTAGATTGTCCAACCGGAACGCTCTGAGGCATTGATAATTTGAAGTTAAGTTAGAGAGCAGAATAAAATTTTAAGTTATTTGAAATTAGACTTTCATAATATCTTCTCTTTTTGGTTCATTTTATTAAACAAAAGAAGATAAAGCACCTTACCTTCATTACTGAAAAAATAACCCATGAAAGACTTAAAGGTGTAAAATTCCTTTTAAGCAAAACAATTTTCTCATGTATGATTTTTGTGGACTCTGCCATTTCAAGTCTCAGGAATGTGCAATTTTTTCCCAGTGGTGCCTTTTGCAGACTGGCTTCCTGCCACCATCATCTCCTAGCCACCAGCCAAGCCCCTGGGAATTTGATTAGGTCACAAAATTTTTTATACCTAAGCAAATGAGAATGAAGGAAATTCAGAAAAAGCTTTTACTCTCTAAAACCTGTGGCCAGTTTAAGAAGTTGTAGGAAAGAGATTTTAGTTCTTTTGCATTCCTGTCACATAGCTCCTCAAACTACCGTCACTGGGGATTAATTGAGACATACTCAAAGAGAAAAGAAGAAATGTTAAAAGGGGTCTACGGCTGACTCTGTAGACTCTTTCTTGGTGTTCTACAAATCCAACTGCTTCATAGTTTGCAGCCCACCCACTTCCTCCTTGAAAGTAACTAGAGAATCCTGTACTTGTGTAACAGAACACCCCATGTGTTATCTAAATTTGACTTAGGACATCTCATTAGATCAGCAGAGCAGGGAGTTCTCTTTTCTCTGCTACAGCACTTTTCCATTCTAATATTCCATTATAACTGCACACATATTCATAAGTGAATGCAGATTCTGGCTTAAATCCAAAAGGTCTCTTTTTTGAAAAAAAGTAAAACACTTTTAATTTCTAATTGCCCAGTGCTGGCCGTCAGTAATGTCACTCTGTGGACGTGGGATGAGGTGAGGAAGTTGGCTGTGGTTCACGTGCGCCTCCCTGTGCGCTGCTGGAGCACGCATTGGGATGCAAGTGAATGAGAGTTAGCATATTACAGGAATAACCTTGAATCGACTTCATTTTTACAAAAACATAATACACAAACTTATGAATTTTCAATATTATTAGTAGCAAATAACTTGTGACACACTGGAGTGGAGTGATCCCTCATGTGAGTGTCACACTGAAGAATACACTTCTGAGCATCAGCTCCCGTAAGTCTTAGTGGCTTTCAACATCCAGCACTATAGCCCCTCCACACATTCCTAAAAATGTCTCCAGGAGCAAGGGACTGTTTCTGACAGGAATACATCAGATCCATCTACTGTCTGTAGTTAAATAACTTGGAGGACCACTATTTGATATGTTCCTGCATAAAGTGGTAGCTACAGTGACTAAAATTCAAGGAAATGGCACTCCACTGTGGAGTGGTTAAGGGAGGTTCCTGTGTGACTGCTCACAGCCTCCTCTCTCCAGACTTAAAACCTCAAGTTGTAGATAAACAAACTCTGGTAATATAGCAAACGCTACCAAAACTTCACTTAAATGGGACCAAAAAAGAATATATCTAAAATTAGCAATTTCAGTCCTCATGAAAAAAACTTAGAAATCTCATATGCTTAAATGACAAATGAGTTTTGTGACCTTTGTTACCATTTACCATAAGGACTAAGTTTGCAACAAGTAGCCAACAGGGGCAAGTTTCCTAGATGTTATTTCTCCTATTTAAATAGCTATCACCAGGGCACAGTAGTGCTTGTAAAGTGGTTTAATTCTAATAATCAGACTAGCCTTAGTTTTGTGTAAAGGAAAGAAGTGGGCAATCATCTTATTAATTACATGACTTTCTATAATAATATATTTATGTTAATATATGCATGCAATCATTAAGAGATTTACATGATACAATGGAAAAGGTATGGCTTTTGGCATTAGATAAACATAGATTAGAAATCTACTTCACCTGATGAATAACCTGTGGTCTAGGCTAGTCAGTAAATCACTGTAAGCCTCAGAGTCCATATTTCTGGACGAGAATAGTAATAATAAAGTTCACACCTTGCCCATGGTGATTTTTTATGTTTTCCTTTACTTCCTTACCCTTTGCTATTAATGTATATAATAGACATATAAAACAAATGTAATAAATATAGACATAATAAATAAATACAATATTACTCAAGACAAGTTCCCATGACATCCAACCTCAACCACTGATTAACTCTTTAGAATCATCGCTTAAATTCATCCTCAGTATTTTTTTCTTAGTTAGAAGCCTTTAAGGCATAAGCATATGTTTTAGTAGGTAGACTTGTGCTATGTGGAGTGAAATTATAAAGGGTCTAGGAGTTTGTGGGTTTTTTGAGGAAGGAGTGAGAAGCCCCAGTTACAACTCTTGTTCTTTAGAAAGTCACTCACCGTTTATGAGGGAAAGAGTTTTGATTGGGCCAAAGCTTGTTACTTCAGCCTTCTCTCTTTTGGACTCCCATCTCTAGTGTCTAGGAGAAGATGTTTTTCTTCTTTCATGTTTTCAACTTTCTCATCAAGGACACAAGCAAATCCCCGAAGTACATGGCTTCCTGCCCCTAACTGGGCGTCCACACTCTCCCTTCAGCCTTGATCTTTCCTCTTGCAGGTAAAAACAGAAAAGGTGGAGAGAAAAACATGGTGGATCCTTTTCTCCCCGTCTGTGCGAGCCTGCCTCCAACCTGGTGATCGTTGACACTCACCATTTGTGTGAAAGCTTTTCTTTTTTTTTTAACATGTTATACTAGATTTTACTAATTAACTTGATCTTGTAGCTTCTGCAGTTTTTTCCCCCCAATTTAGTTCTTAGAGGAGTTTTCCCCTTTTGAAACTTCTAAACATACTTTGAGCAGAAAAGTATTTAAAAATATAATTATACAGCTTCACTAATATCTGAAAAATGCCTAGTGAACTAATGCAGTGCAGTATATGATAGTGAAGTGAAATTTTTGTGTTTTCATGTCCTTGTTTTTTCTTTGAAATTACATATCTCAGAAATTAGCTCATTATCTGAAAAAATTATGAAGAACTGGTGAATTGTAATACCACTGAATGGAGTGTTTGATTTACCCAAGCAGGTAATGAACAATCTTGTTGTCAAATTCACTAATGAGTCATCTTTATTAGGACGTAAGCTCAGGGCCATTACACCAGCGGCCTTTTGTATCCTGGTGCCATACATATTCTTGGCAAGAAAGGATGAAAAGCAGCAGTAAGCAACTGAAGATTGCCCATGGCTCTTTAAGGGTTTTGGAACAATTCCCAGGATTGGGAAGTGAAAATGGACAGCATGCAGAGGAAACTGTCATCTCGATAGCAAGATTTAAGTGAAGATGACTAAGCCGTTAACAGCATACATGCATATTTAATTTTATTAACTCCTACGTCAACCTTCTTGGATCTTTTCTTTTAAGAGGAAAGTTGAAACTTTTATTGGAAGGACTTGAGCAGAAGTGAAGGATTAAAATAGAAGTATAGATAATTCTTTCTGGAACTGCTTAAATTTCATTGCTCAAAAATACTTTCATTTTCCCCCTTTGATCAAAGAGACTTGCTTAAAACTCTTGCTTCTTTACAAGAAATAATTTTAGTCTTAAACAGGTTTATATTTAGATGCAGGATATTATATGGACGTCTCATTTAGTAATGCTAGCAACGCCATCTGTGGTTGAAAGAACCCTCAGGAAAGCTTTGAGGGATATGGATGTGACTCTTAAATGTAGACATAAAGTTTTCTTTTAAAAATAATTTACTAGTCATCTTAAAGGAATAAATGTCTCTGGCTCAGATGTTACTTATTTCCATCTTTTTTAAATTTTTTATTTTCTAGTCTCAATTCCTGTTACAGAAGGAATTATCTTCAAGTTTAGACTACAGATCCAGGTCGATTGCCATTTTAATAAGTTATTTAAAATTAATTTGAGGATCTTCATGTATCTTTAAATATCACCATGGAGACATGTGCATGAATCGTCATTGTGGGCATCTTCTTAAGTAGTCCGTAATTGAAAGTGTACCACCAAGACCGGAGAGAAATATAGTCTTGAAAAGAAAGAATAAAAATTGCGAAAGAGAACCACACGACAAGTGTGACTTGTGCCAGGAAAGGAGAATATTCTTGTTTGGATAAACGGCATTGATATCAACTAGAATTATACAAATTCATTTACCTCCCGTTAGCCTCGTTCTCATTTCTAATTGGGATCTAAGTTCATTTCTATCAGTGTAAGAGGTTTAAAAACTACCATACTCCTACTAAATGGTAGAGATATTTAATATTCAGATTTATCTTAAGACAGCCTTAAACATTGACGAGACCACACAACATCAATTTGTGTTTTATAACCTTATAATAGAGCCATTGTCTTCACTAATTTTTAGAACAAGAAAGAGCCTGTAGTAATAAAGGGATTTTGACTGATATATTTTGGTAAAGAAGAAGGTACCTGCACTAATATAGCTGGTGTTCTTTGTGTTGTTATTTTAAGATTATTTTATTTTAAAAGGGAGGATAATATGTTCTGAAAAGTTTGTTTTTCCTTAATGTTCAAACTTTTCATTAAAATTTGCTATTTTAGTAAAAATAAATGATGACCCACAGGATAGTTGTATGTAGTGCTTTACTTTTAATTACTTACTGGGAAAACACAAGTGGAAAGAGAATGACACTAAGATGTCTTTCCTGTTTAACATCAAGGTTTATTTTTTTTATATATATATTTTTTTTCTGCTTTATCTTCCCAACCCCTCCACCGCCCACGTACACAGTTGTATATCTTAGTTGCAGGTCCTTCTAGTTGTGAGATGTAAGGTTTCTGTTAAATGTGTGTGCTATGTGGAGTGGAGTGCCAAAAGGACCAGTAGTTTTTTGGGTCCAGTTCCAACTATTGTTGCTTAGAAAGCCAGTCAGTGTTTGAGGGGAGAAGACATGTTAGGGCTACTACCTAAGGATTGGCATTGACTCAAGCCTAGGGCATAGTCACGGCTACTATGCATCCTGTTTGATCCCGGAGGATCCCAATTTCAAATCTTCTATCCTGTTTCACTTATTAGAAAAGGAGTCTCAAGTGTTGATCGAGACAATATGGTCAGCTAGCTTATAATGTGTGAATAATCATTTTGAAAAAGTTTTTTCTGGCTATTTTTCCTCCAATAGCTAGTTTTTTTCCCCTCTAATGTCTAAACTCTTCTTCATTGAATGTTACTACATTCCTAGAGAAGAAATAACAGACTTGATAAATAGTTATATTTTTGCTACTAAGTGGAAATCACATCTTTATGTTCTTCATAGGTAAATATTTTTTCCTAAAAATGCTAACAAAATTCAGGAAAGATTAACAAATAGCTTTATGAAGATCTAGAAAGACTGGGGGTGTATTGAGTATAAATTTGTGAATGAGTGATATGTTTATCTTCACTTATCTGAGTTAACAAGTTAGACAAAGATTTGAAAAACTGTGGTCAATGTATTACAATTTTTGTCATTTTTTTCCAAAATATACACTTGTGCCCAAGTATTCTCCCCAACAAGAAAGGTCTCCAAGGGAAAGCAATCAATACCATTTTTGAATTTGATTCTGATAATGCTATTTTTAAATGATTGTTTTTACTATAGTAACTGAAAATTTGGTCCCATGGCAAATTGGTTGGATTTAAATTGTAGCTTTGCCCTTTGCTTGCTGGGTGAAGTGGGCATTTTATTTACTCTATCCATATCTCTGTTTCCTCATCTGTAAAATAGGGAAAAGAATAGCGCCTACATCATAGGGTTATTGGTAAGAATTATAAAAGGTTTAGCAATAACTCTGATGTAATAAGGACTAAGTAAAATATATTGTTTTTATTAAAATATACAGTATAAATTTCCTTTTTTGATTCACTAACATTTTATGTCATGTAAATTTTATGTTGTTATGAGCTCTTACTTGTTTAAAAAATACAGACAAATCCAAGAGAACAACAGTGTAAACGTATAGTGTTCAAGTAATTCTTTGAAGGTCTTTTGCAAACAGACACATTTGGGTTACATGATCCGAACTTCAAATGGACTTTTTCTCATTTCCAGTAGGTTGTGCCAGGAAACCCAGTCTCTTGTCCTGATACTGCACTTTGCCACAGACTAGCTGTGTGATTCTGGCAATAACCCTCCTAGACTTCAGCATCCTTTTGTAAAATGTACAGATATTGGCTTAAGCGAACTCTAAAATGTGTGTGATCTACATTGCATACCAAAATGTTTCCATTACTTATCTGTAGCTAATGATTTAATAGTAAAAACATTGAGAACCTAGAGAAATTTGGGGAAAGGGAGTATGGATATGGCAAATGAGACTGCATTGAACCACAGATGAGAGGGGACCATTCTGGCTATTTCCACAGTCCTTTGCCAGGCAAAAAAATGACAGAAACAAGCTTCAGTAAATTGTAGACTCTTTTTGCCTGACTTTGGAGACCCTACAACGTAGAAACATCACGCTAACAAGGACCTTGAGAAACTAATTACCCCCATAGGTGAGATTTTATGGAGCACTCTCAATCAGTAATCCCTGAGAGGGATATTTAAAGCTGGAGAGAAAGAATGTAATGAGTGAAAAACCAGAATAGTAAGAATCAGGGTTATGCAAATAAAAAAGGAAGAACAGCCCGTGGTGGCAGGCTTCACCTGAAGAAGTACAGAGAGGTGACTCCAAGGAAGGTAGCATCGAACACTAGGATTTTGAATAGGAAAAGTAGATGCAAAGAATCAACATAGAACACTGTACTGTTAATTTTATAAAAGGGGATTGGGTCAGCTGGATAGGCCTAACACATTTAGTGATGTACACCCTTAATGACATCTGTCAGCATGTGGAAGAATCAGGAAATAAAAATAGTAGCACTGTCTTATGGATATGATATATGAACGTAACAAAATGCATTTCAGAAACTCCAGGGGGCGGCGGTGGTGATGACAAGTAAGCGATGTATAGAAAACTGTATTCGTAAAAGCTCAAAACAAAAAGCATGCTTCAAATAGCTTTTTATCCCCTCCCTTGTATCTCCTTTTCTCCTCATTTTCTTCTCTTTCCAACTCCCTGAATATTTAATGGTAGTGAGAAGTGATGAAAAGCCTTTGCCAAGGCTAGTCAGAGAAATATTCCGGTTCCTTTTCTTCCCCCAACCACGGATCTTTAATGATAAAAACAAAAGAAAAAAAATAGAAGATTAAGATAATTTGTCTTCTACTGTATCTAGGCATTTAAAATGTAGGTCAAATTCCAAAGGTCTTTTCTATCTGACCAATCACTATAATTTAAATTTGGCGTAAATAGTGTTCTTAGGAATCATTAGCTATCTGTCTGAGGACCACCTAAGAAACTGGAAAGAGATATCAGTAGAGTAATGATGAAATAAGCTGCATGTCTCAGTCCATCTGTTTACGTGTTCCCTGGCTTCAATTCTCTCCTTAAAGATTTCTTGAGAGTGTTTGCACGGCAATCGAAGCTTGAAAAGCAGAAGGAAAGAAACTCTTAGAGTCAAAGTTATGTATTGCTTTTTTTTCATCGATGAAAGAATCAGAAGGGTGACCCTTTCCTAAATGCCTTCCTTTATGCTGAGGAACATGTAGCTGCATTATTTTATTTTTTACCACACTTTTCTCTCCAGTCTGAACAGAAAAACTGAACGAGTACTGTCAGCTATTTTGCTTTCAAACCCTTCCTTCTGGGAGACAGAGCAGGGCTGGCCGTGGGTTGAACTCACAGACTATCCGAGTTTGTCTCTACAGTGCTACCTCTCTATTTTCGCTACGTCCTGATTCCTTTCCTCACCTCCATCAAATTTGCTAGAAAATACTTTACTTTTAAGTGAGAACAAGTGGTAAATGAACAATCTGGTAAACAGATCCCTGCCAATTATTAACAAATACTAATAATCACTCCTGCCAGGTAGCTCCAATGCTCAGAAGGTTCTAACAGGAATAACGGTAACATTGTTAATAGTTAAAGTTTACCAAGGCCTTTCTATGGACCAGGCCTAGCGCTACAGTCTTGAAAGATGTTATTTCAGTCCTAACAACAATTCTAAATGGTTATTTTTTATTACTCCTATTTTACAGACAAGAAAATGAAAGCTTAGTAAATTCAAGAAACTTGCCCAAATCGGGGCACAGAATTTAAGGTCAGGCTTATTTTAACTCTAAAATCCCTGCTCTTTAATAGCATATGTTCTCGCAGGTATTTTCTGGGAGATATTTGTAGTCAGTTCCTAGATGGAAAAGTCTACTTCACATCAGTGAACCAAGTATTATTGCCACACCGGGGTTTGAGGATATCCACCAACCCCTTTCATTCCTTCTCTCCATTTCACTTCCTTGTGATGATATAGTGTTTAGAGGCAAGTGGGAGAATGGAGATTGTACTGTGGATGACCATTATGTTTATAGAACTGTCTGAAGATCGATTGTGATAAACTAATTTGTTTATTCACCAAGCATTTGTTGAAAACCCACTATAGGCCAGGCATATATCATAGAAAAAAATCAACAAATATAATTACAATATTTTCCTTGACAATGTTGGTCTTTAATGAATGGATGACTACATAAAATTATTGTGCATATCATGTTCCAACAAATACGCTAATAATATGTGACTTTAATCCGAACTTTTAAATTATTCATTTGCCTCTCCAAGAACTTCAGAGAATAAAAGCAGGGAAATGATTTACACTTTAATGGTTATTGACTAACCTATGGCAATTTTATCTTAAATTCCTTTCAACATTTTCTGAATGCCATACCTTATGCTCTAAGTGTCTGAATGCACGACTTTCTCTTCTAAAAATTATTTCTTTTATTTTTCATCTATAATTTTTAATTTTAGTACTCTGAAATATTCCACTCTCGAATTGACTTTTGGGGTCAATTGGGATGATGCTTTGTGTGAAATAATGAACTTTTTCATTCTGATCAAGAATGTCCACTGTATTTCAATGTGGTTTCTATGCATGAAAAATGCAATATGTTCTTTCTGAATATGGAACATGTTCTATGTGGTTTGTGTGTCTATTTTCATTTATTTTGGATGATGCAGTTACTTTTAATTAATATCAAGAAGCATAAGTACACTATTACAGATTATACATTTACAAAAGTTTACCTTTATTATATTTATATGTTATATATTTCCAAATAATAAAATTTACTACCATCAATAGGGTGTGTGTTGTGTTATTTTAATATTGGTAGTAATGCATTTGTGTTGATCTACACACACGTTTTCCTCCTTGAGACCAACTACAAAGAAATCGGTGAAGGTTTGGGATGTTTCCTATACCTTTGAAAAGACCAAAGCCCAAATGGAGAAAAAACCCATATAGGCTAAGCATCTGATCTGATACATAAGTAGGAAGGTATTTATTTTCAGCTAAAAGATAAAGACAATTTATTTAGTGCTATATTCAATGTGAAAAAATAAAAGTACTACTTTACCAAAGTTGTTGATTATTATATTCAATATGCCTAATTCAGTTGGAAATGGACTCCTTTCTGGTGGAAAGGAACAAGTGATGGCATTTTCTGAAATGTCTATTCTAGGAACTCTCTATTTACCGACAGCCTTTTTTAGCATCATAAGCCATGGGTGCCACTTAAAGGACATTTTTCCCCCTAATTTTTAAAAATGAGAATTTGTAATGCCAAGTGCAAGTACCTTGTATACCATTACCATGGCATTTACTCCTATTTATTACAGTTATTTGTGTGCTGATCAATTTCACCCTTTTCAGGACAAAGATCTCTTCAAAGCTCAAAAGTTATGTCTCACTTATCTTTTCATCTCTACCACTCAGCACAGTGCTCTCAGTTTAAAGGATAAATAAATAATATTTGGTACTGAGTTATGAAACATCTTTGAAAACCTATTTTAACATTATTTTATGTTCTGCAATAATAATTCTTCTGTCCTAAGACTCTTCAATATATAATTTGATGTTTTCAGAGCATTCCTGATATATCTCTGAGCTGAGAATTGTTTTCTACATTTTATAGAAGTGGAAATATTTCTTTCAGTATTATTTATTTCTATTACCATAACTAACATGAAATGTATTACCCAAAATGATACATACAACCATTCCCAGAAATTTCTACTCCAAGTGAAATAAATTACCTATAACATGTGGGGTTATTAAAAAAATGTTTGTTCCATTTTAGAGAGGCAGAATGAAACATTTAACTCACTGTTCTCATATCTGGACTGCATTGGGGTACCATCTCTGATTCATGCATTCAGCAAGCATTCATTACATCTCACTATGCTACAGTCTTGTTTTAGGTCCCATTGATGCCAGCTGCATTTTAGGAGTCAAAGATTATCATGTGTATCCATTTTCTGAGTCAAAGATTATCATATATATCCTGAATAATAATGACATTTTTAAATGACAGCATTTATCTCCTTTCTTAAGAAGAGACATCATGAAATCATTTAGTGAAAATCATAAATACTATTATCACTTCTTATAGTTTAGATTTAAAAGGAATGTGACAACACTGATTATATCATATAAATGTTCCTTAGATTACTTTCAAGGAAGACATTTTTGTATTCTAATGTGCACTTAATCCACTAGCTGGTGTTTATTGATTTATTACCCAAATTTTCATTCCAGGCCCTCCAGGTCCTCCAGGTGGTCTGAGAATAGAAGACATTAGAGCCACTTCTGTGGCACTTACTTGGAGCCGTGGTTCAGACAATCACAGTCCTATATCTAAATACAGCATCCAGACCAAGACTATACTTTCAGATGACTGGAAAGATGCGAAGACGGGTGAGTTTTATTTGTCTGATTATTCTGTACATATTTTTAAATCAATTCTTTTATCAAAAACAAAAACCTGGATGTTTTAAGAATTTCATCATCTACTCTGAAATGCTTTTTGTTTTTTTTCTTTTTGTTTTTATTATTCCAGTTCTTTGTTAGTGAAAAAAAAACACAAGGAAGTTAAACATTTCAAAGCTGTAGGGGAAGAAGCAGCATGTCTAAATCTATCATGGGAAAGCAGAGAGAGGTTCTCTGGGTTTCTCAATTGAGCTACATCTAATTCTAAGATTTATTAGGAAAAAATCATTGGGAAGTCATTTTTTTTTTGGCAAATGGCATCTGTAACTTATTATTTTATGACCCATTTTATTCAATTGTATAGGTACTATAGTTTTGCATTTTAAAAAAGCCACATTAACCGTAAAGATTTAGCACCCAAATCTCACTACCATAACCCCTTACTTTCTGAGGATGATCTTGCCTGGTTTGAATTTCCTCAAAATAGATTTTTAAAGAAGTTTTGTATCTCAACCTTTTTCTATTCTTATATTAAGATTTTCTAAAAGGAAAAAATAGTTAAGTGTAGATGAATACTTTCCCTTGTCTATAACTATTACCATTGTCATTTCTCATGACTAGCCTACAATATCCCACATCAGTTTATTTTCTCCTGTAACATCTCAGAAGATAGAGGATCCTTTTGATAAAATAACCTATTTGTGTTTGTCGTTACTGACAATCTTTTAAAACAAACTTGTAGTTGTCAGAATTTCTTTTAGATGCATAAAGAAGAGACATAGAAATATGGGCTCAGTTGTCATCAGAGGGGAGAAAAAAAGAGAAAAGGGGTGAATAAAATGTTTCTCTCTTTTAGAAACTGAGAAAAGAATTAATCCCAGCATGTCCCAAACCTGGTCTCATTTTATCCTTATTCTGAAGTAATGGAATTTATTTGCATCGCTCACTAAGAGGTCTTAATTCAGATGTAATTTTCCTTGATAATTTCTTCCTATATTAGGAAGTGAGCCAAATATCAACTTGAAGTCTGT